CTGCTGTGCATGCTCAGAGCCGCACACCTGTGAGGACTGATGAGCTGGCCCAGGAGAAAGGGCCCCCACCCACCCACAAGCAGGCGTCTGCCTCCTGCAGACAGGGGCAGTTCTTACCACGAGAGCCTTGAGGTTGAGGGGCAGTCCTAGGGGAGAGCCATGGACTGGGGTGGGCAGAGGGAGGCCAGCCTGCAAGCTCCCAGCAAGAAGAGGGTTCACCCAGGGGCTGTGGCTGAGCTGAGGCTGAGTCCAGGAGACAGCACCAGTGCCAGATGGTGGATGCCTGACTCACCTGGCCCTGCCCTTCCAGAATGAGGTGAGCGCCTCCCAGGTGTCAACGTGCTGTGGCCACACAGAGGGAGTGGAATAGCTCGCCACCGACCTGCAGTTGCATTTAGATGTCGAGACGTACCAAGAGTGCAGGGAGAAGCATGCCTCCCACAGAAGGGGGCTCTCAGGGAAAGGAGGCCTGCTTCCCAGGCCAGGCCAGAAATGGCTACGGTAGCAAGAGAAAGAGACCAGCTGGGGGCCGTGTCAGCGTGTGGGGTGGGCGAGGGCTTCCGCACACATGTGAAGGTTTGAACCTCATACGAGCGCCAGGTCTAGTGGGGACACCTGGGCCTTCTCATCAGCCCTCCCAGGGCCTGGAGCAGAGAGCAAGGGGGTGAGGCTTAAATGCCATGGGCAGCCAGTTACCAGAAACGGAGTCAGACTCTATCACAGACGGACAAGCCCCCTTCCTGGGGTTGGATGCAATGTTCTGTGGCATGCACAACACACGTATGTGTTCACTTGTGTGTCACTGAGGGAACCTGACAGCCCCCATAAGCCCTGCCATATCAGCATCCCTATCAATATGCGGGTGTTCCAGCCGGGCCTCTCCCTAGATCATCTTCACAGAACTGAGCCTGTTAAAATACACTCACAATTTCCAGCTATGAACAGTTCAACATGTACCAGACACCCCTGTACCACCCCCCAGATTTAACAAATGTTCATCTTTTCCATATTTGCTTTGTAGTGTTAAGGAGATCAAAGTTAGAGAGTTAGAGTCACAGCTCCACTCCCACTCTGCCTCCCCCTCCGCCCCCACAGGGGTTACCCCCCACCGAAGCTTTGCTGCCATTGCTCCTACGCCCACACCCGGAAACCGCACGGTATGCGCGATTCACATAAAGGGCGTCACACTGTCCAGTCCGTTAACTACCGGCTTTTTTTCCACTCGATATCACATTTTTGTTTGTTTTATTTTTGTTTTGAGATGGAGTCTCGCACCGTAACTCAGGCTGGAGTACAATGGGGCAATCTAATTCGCTGCAACTTTTGCTTCCCAGGTTCAAGCAATTCTCCTGACTCAGCCTCCCAAATAGCTGGGATTACAGGCACCTGCCACCATGCCTGGCTAATTTTTGTGTTTTTAGTAGAGATGGGGTTTCACCCCGTTGGCCAGGCTGGTCTTGAACTCCTGACCTCAAGTGATCCTCCCAGCTCAGCCTCCCAAAGCACTGGTATTATAGGTGTGAGCCATCACACCCGGCTGATACAACGTTTTTGGTTATCAGCATTGACTCGGGCAGCTCTCATCGTTCACCCGAAATGTGGCCCAGGATGCTCCTCCACATGCAGCCATGCCACAGCTCAGCCATGCCACAATTCGGCCATGCCACAGCTCGACCATGCCACAGCTCGGCCATGCCACAGCTCGGCCATGCCACAGCTCAACCATGCCACAGCTCAGCCATGCCACAGCTCAGCCATGCCACAGTTCATGCACCCTCCTCTTTCCTCCTGGCAGACAGGTTGGTTCACATTTCCTTTATAGTCCTTGTTTTTAGAGGAAGTGTGGCCCAGGATGCTCCTCCACCTGCAGCCATGCCACAGCTCGGCCATGCCACAGCTCAGCCATGCCACAGTTCATGCACCCTCCTCTTTCCTCCTGGCAGACAGGTTGGTTCACGTTTCCTTTATAGTCCTTGTTTTTAGAGGAAGTGTGCAAGGCTGCTCAGCCAGGAAGTTGCAAGACCAGGACACACACACAAGGCTGCAGACCCCAAATCTCCCATTACTTTTTTGTGTGTGATGGAGTCTCACTCTGCTGCCAGGCTGGAGTGAAGTGGCACGATCTCAGCTAACTGCAACCTCCGAATCCCTGGTTCAAGAGATTCTCCTGCCTCAGCCTCCCAAGGAGCTGGGACTACAGGCACACACAGGACTACACACACACCCAGCCAATTTTTGTATTTTTACTAGAGATGGTGTTTCACCACGTTGGCCAGGATGGTCTCGATCACCTGACCTCATGATCAGCCTGCCTCGGCCTCCCAAAGTGCTGGGATTACAGGCGTGAGCCACTGTGCCCATCCCAAATCTCCCATTCTTGCCATGTTGTCAGGCAGAGTTGACACCGCAGTTCACAGAGCCTCGGTGAAACTACAAAGCCCCTGGCTGAGCGCACTGGCGGTGCTGGTTTTAAAGACAGATTCCTGGGCACTCTGCTCCTCAACACTCTTCCTCTAAAAACAAGAACTGCAAAGGAAAAGTGAAACAACTCCTCTGCCAGGAGGAAGGAGGATGGTGTGCGAGCTGCGGCGTAGCTGCAGGCGGGGGAGCATCCGGAGCCACACTGCAGGTGAATGATGAGAGCTGCTTGAGCCAACGCTGATCAACGAAAAGGAGAGCTTAATTTTCCTGCCCCTGAGCGCAGGCTGGACTTAGTCCTTCGCCCCTAACAAGAGATTACGACAGACGTGGAGCAATGTCGCTTCCGAAATGAGGTTACAAAAAGACCGTGGCCTCCTCAGCCTCTCTCCCTCTCTGTGGAAAGCTGCTGCTGAGCTGTCATCTGCCCTATGGAGTCCCAGCAAGAAACAGCGGCTTCCCACAAACAGCCAGCGGAGGCCTGAGGTTGCCCAGCGATTTGGAAGTGGGTCCTGCAGCCCCATTTGAAGCCACCGTGACCCCAGCCTGGGCCAATGCCTTGACTCTGAGCATGTGAGATCCCTGGGCCGGCACCTCTCAGCAAGGCAGCCCCATGTTCCGCAACCCACAAAAACCATGAGGTGGTAAATGCGCGTTGTCTTCAGCCCCGAGGCTGGGGGAGTGTTAGGCAGCAGCAGATAACTGAGGAACCCGTTCAGCACACGGAGGCCAGGCAAGGGGACACAGAGGAACTTGGGCCCAGCAGGTTCTACCACCCATAGCCTCCAGACACCTCTTCCCCATGATGTCCTGGCCTCAGAGGGCATGTGACAACCCACATCCGGGCCTGAGGCGGCAGCCACCAACATGAACCCCATCACAGTGTGCTGAGCTGTGCCCATGCCAGGGCCAACCCCAGCACATCCATGTGCAGAGGGACATGGTGACAGTGAAAGCCTCCCTCCCACAATCCCTCTCCCTCTTCCGGTCAGGCAGCCCTCTCTCTAGTCCTCTGCCAATTCCCTCGCAGCCTTGACTCTGGAATCAGCAGAGCCAGCCCTGGTTTGCAGGGAGCCTGCCCTTAGTGGAGCTTTCTTCCTGAGTCTGACCTGCTGACACTAAACCCAGCAGCCCTTGCCACAGGAGGGTTTTGGAACTTCCGCCACTGTGCTAAGGGGCTTGGGAGTCAGACAGACCTGGGTTTCCTATTCCCACACACCACCCTTCTCCCTGAGCCTCAGGCCTCCCTCCCCTCATCTGTGAAGTGGGATCAGTCACCTACCTACCTCCAGATGACAGAGATGCCAGGACAGGAAGCAGGCAGTGCGTAGGGCCTGCCGGATCTCAGGCTGTGGTTTAGGCGAGCTCGGGGATGGGCCGGGGAGGCTCCCTCTTGCTCCCCTCCAGCTCTGTGTACAAGGCCTTGCTGCTTCTCTGGGAGCCAGGCTGTGGGAAGTAGAAAAGTTTATTTTTAAAGTTTCCTTTCTTGTTAAAGAACAAGTGTGCTAAAAACTTTGTAAAGCCCCGTCCTATGTAGCTGTTAGACGTGCCATGCTTACAGGTACGCGGTACGTTCTATGTCCTTGTACTTTAACCAAGATATCTGTGCTGGACGTGCTCACAGGCATGTCCCAGCTCTCCATTGCTTTCACCTGTTTAGAAAAGTTTTAAGTTGTTAGCAAATAGCATTTTAGTTTAGATTGTGAGGTCTGGCTCCAGCCAACGGAGATCAGACACAGCAGTAAGGACAACCCCAAATGTGTAAGGGATAAATTTGTGTGTTTTCCTTTGTTCATTGTACTCTCGTGGCACGATGGCTAGTGAGAGTACCCTTCCTCCAGGAAGTAAAAATCACGTTGCTGAAAATCCTTTGTCTCAGTGCTCATTTTTCTTTGCGGCACCAAGTAACCATTTCCAGCATCTATTTCCAACACACGCTGAGCAGTGCCTCTGTCCCCAAGGCCCTAGTGATGCTCACCCCTTGGCCTGGAATCCCCCCTGCTCCCTGCTAACCCTTTTTATTTAGGCAAAATTCGCATCACAAATTTTATCATTTTAACCGTTTTATTTATTTTATTTGATTTTTTTAATTTTAGAGATGACATCCCACTCTGTCGCCTAGGCTGGAGTGCAGTGAGGTCATAGCTCACTGCAGCTTCCAGCCTCCTGGGTTCAAGTGATCCTCCTGCCTCAGCCTCCCGAGTAGCTAGGACTATAGGTGTGTGCCACCATGCCACCCTGCCTATTTTAACCTGGACAATACAGTGGCATTTAGTACATTCACAGAGTTGTTGCAACCAGCAGCACCATCCATCTAGCACCAGGGCACTCCCTTAACCCCAAAACAGAATCCCCGTCTCCATTAGCAGCCACTCCCACTCCCCCTCCTGACTCCTGCCCCAACTCCTGGCAACCACTTGTGAACTTTATGTGTTTATGGATTTGCCTACTGCAGACATTTCACATACACGGAATCACAATATGCCGTCACATTTATGGCTGCATCACGGTTTCCAGGCCAGGCTGTGGTGGGACTCAGAACTTCTTTCCTTTTCATGGCCAAGTAACACTACATTGGATGCACGGACTACGCTGTGTTTACCTGTTCATCAGTGACAGACCCTTGGTAGTGTCCAGCCTCTGGCTATTGTGGATAATGCTGCTATGGTATCTGTCTGAGCGCCTGTTTGAATTCTCTTGAGCAGACACCTAGGAGCAGAGTTGCTAGGTCATAGGATGATTCTCCATATACTTTTGAGGAACTACCCCCACCACACCCAATTCTTACCAGTCCGTCAGATCTCAGTGCTGCCTGGCCTTTGTGCACCTCCTTCTCATTCTTGCCCACGCTTTCCTACCCTACTTGGCTTTGTGGAACCTTCCGGATGAAGGGGGTAAGCCTCCTGCCGGCAGGCATGAGTGCCTCCCTGCCCTGAACCCTGGTCTGGCACATGAAGGCCTGCCATGAGTATCTGTTCACATGTGAATAGAAGACCAGGTATGAGCTAACAGGTGTGCAGAGATGGTGCCATGAATCCAGGAGGGAGGGCCACGCCAGAGCCAGGGCACAGGGCAGGCCGGAAGTGCTGGGAGTTTACACCCCAGGAGCTGCTCTCCAACAGCAAACAGGAGTCAAGGTTTGCGGGCTGTCTACAACCGCCGCCCCCGGCCCCCCAGCAGCAAGACAGAGCCCCAGCTGTTCACTGCTGCATCAGGTCTGGCTCCTTCCCTTCCCCCCTGCGACTCTGCTCTCCCACTGTGCTTTTTGGATCCCTCCTGACAGACTCTTTCTACTCAGATCCCAGATCCCAGCTCCCAGGGAACCGGCTGCCTAGGGAACCCAATCTAAAACAGCAGGGTCAGCCTCTGGCCCAAAAGAGGAACAACTTTGCCATCAGTCAGAATGAATAATAATTTATAAGGAGAATGAATAACAAGTAGGAGACCTTCCCAAGGTCACTGCGCCAGGCATGGCGAGATGCTCATTCTCTCGGGCTGCACCAGGCTATGCTGCCTCCAATGAAGATTGAGTGGGGCGGGGGCTGCAGGAGGCAGTGAGGTGTCCAGGCTGCGACACGTCAGGTGGGTGCTCTCTGGGAGTCCGGCAAGCCCAGGGCCGGCACCTGAGGGTGGACCCCACTGGACCCTGGTGGCCTTGGTCCAGATTCTAGGTGACTCGTGTACATATGTGTGTGTATCAGTGTGTCTCTGTGTGTATGCACATGTGTATGTGTGTGTACATGTGTAAAGTGCATACGCATATGTCTTGTGCTTACATGTGTATACATGTACAGATATATGTGTGTATTGTCCCTGTTTGCATGGCTGCGTACATATGTGTATTGTCCCTGTGTGCATGGCTGTGTACATATGTGTATTGTCCCTGTGTACATGGCTGTGTACATATGTGTATGTGTGTACTGGTATGTGTGTATATTCATGAGTGTGTGCACGTGTGTATAGGTATTAGTGGATGTGTGCATGTGTGTATATGTATTAGTGGATGTGTACATGTGTGTATATGTATTAGTGGATGTGTGCATGTGTGTATATGTATTAGTGGATGTATGCATGTGTGAGGTTGCACACCTAATCATAGTTATCAAGTGCTTATCATGAGCCAAATATTGTTCTAAGAGTTTTACTTTTTTTTAACCCACTTAATTCTCACAACCCCATAATTTGGGTCCTACAGTCATCCCCATTTTACAGATGAGGGAACTGAGACTCCAGAGGTGAAGTGGTTTTCCTACAACCACACAGGTGGTGGCCAGTGGGGCTGAGATGCAAAGCCCTCTAGCCAGCTCCGATCCACCCCCTGAGCCTCCAAAGCGGATCAGGGAGATGTGAGCAAAACTGTTTCCCCCAGCCACATGGCAGAGGGACACTCTGGCCTGCCATCCTTCCCTCGGTTCTAGCTCCTTCCCACGCTAGGAAGGCAAGAACACCAGCGTGTATGTAGCACATGTGCTCATTCCACAGTCAGGAGGGAGGACTCCAGGAGGCAGGCGGCTCCTGCAAGCTCACGGGGTGTGGGTGGTGCGGGAGACGGGGAGGCTCTGGAACTCCTGCCTACAGCCTGGCCTGGGAGAGGAAGGGGTACCCCACATGTCCTCCAGACCGCAGAGCCCTTTCCGTTTCAGCTAAGTGCTGGGAGATTTGCTCCCAAATCACCCGAGGTCTGCATAAGCTGCACGCCTTCTTCGATGGCCGATGGCTGGCAGAGCTGGCTCTCTGGGCTGAGGCAGCCCTGCCCCAGCTCACAGGCTTGGCCACTCTCCAGGGCACCTCCCACCTGGCCTTGGCTCTTCTGGGGCAGCTGCCTTTGTTCCCTGTGCCTCTGGCTTTAGCGGGAAAGAAAGAGGCCAGGAGGGACCCACAGGCTGGGAGGTGCCTCCCGCACCTATGTTTAGCTGAGTTGGGCTGTGTCCTGCCTGGCTCCAGGCCTCATCTGCCTGCTCGAGTTGGATCATGGGACCCAAGAGGAGACTGCCTGCGGTGACACTATGGACAGACAGGCTGGCCGGGGCCAGAATGATATGTTTTGCAGCTCCTCCCGGACCAGAGGAACCAGGACAGCCCTGGGTTTTTGTTATCAGAATTCTCCTTGGAAATCAACATGGTTTTTATCGCCATTTAATTTTTGAAACTTTGTTTCCTTATACAAGCAATATATCTCCACCTTAGAGAAATGAGAAATACAAAGTATCATAAAGAAAGGCTGAAATGTCTCTGCTCTACTATACAGCAAGGGTGAATCTCACAGTGTGAGTCTGAGTGCATTGGGAGGCTCTGCTCAGGATGACTCAGAGGCCACAACCTCGGAAACTAGCCTGGGGCATTCGGAGCCAGACTGGCCACCCTGGGGAGAGGAGTGAGGGCCTGGAAGGGGTTCTGGAATGTTCTATGGCTTAATTGGGTGCTGATTACACATGGGAGTTTCATTTGTGAAAATTCATCAAGCTGGACTTTCACAATTTGTGCACTTTTCCATATGTATGGGCAATAAAATATTTACTATTTTGCTAAAATTTTTCCCCTTTCTATTCTCAAGGCATTGCCACTATTAATATTTTGGGTTGTTTCCTTATATACATTTTGCCACGCATCTACACACATTAGTTTTTCTCAGAAAGATAAAATCATCTTCTACCACCCGTGTTTTCACAGGAGGCAATAAATGCTGAAGCCACACTGTGGGGGTCCCACCCTGAACCCTCCAGCCAAGCCACTCACCTCCCGAGTTGTTGACGTGCAGGTGACAGTAGGACCTCTGTAGCTGTGAACTCTTCAACTTGCTTTTTTCGCTGAATCTAGTGCAAACATCTTTCCAAACCAAGAACTAACACTTGTCCTACATACAAGGGAATCATAAATACAGGTCAATGTCCAACTGGATCCTCTAAATGTTTTCTATCCCTCTTGAATATGTATGTCAATGTTTTGATTGTGGATGGAAAAGTCACAAGAGTGCTTATACACCGTAAATCATTAATTAAATTAGAAATGCTTTTTGAAATCAAAAGTGAGATAAGACAGGGTGTGGGGTAGAGACTAGCCGGCTGTCCATCACATTGCTTCCTCTTACTCCTGACAATGCAGGTGGTCCCCATTTCCCAGCCTTGCACTCAGGACGGTCACATGACAGTCTGTCCAGTGAGACTGGGACATAATGGTGGGCACGCCTGGCCTTGGAAACTCCCCACACCCATCCTTCCCAAGTCTTCACCATCTGCTGGCTGGATGCCAGGAATCCTCCCGAGACACTGGGACCTAGGAGATGGTGAAGCCACCACAAGGAAAGGGCCTGGGCCCTGAGCCGCCTTGCGGAAGACCACCCACACACACCCAACTAGAATTTGTGTAAAGAAGAACAAGCCCACGGCGCCACCTCTCGTAAATGTCTGGGTTGACGGTACAGCGGCTGCCTCATCCTCATGCAGTGCATGAATTTGGAAGACGCGCTTCTTCTGCTTGACACTCAAATCCCTTTGCTCACCTCCATCACCTGTGTCATCAATATCAGTGTCCTCATCTTCAAGAACTACTTCTTGCGTCTTCTAACTCTGTTTTCCAAAACACACCATCTTCTCTTCACTTCTGAGTTCTTTGAGATTTTAACACACTCTGGGCACTGTTGAGGGTCATTTTATCAACACACAACTCTCTGCCAGGCATTGTGGCTCACACCTGTGATCCCAGCACTTCAGGAAGCTGAGGTGGGCGGATCACTTGAGCTCAGATTGTGAGACCAGCCTGGCCAACATGGTGAAACCCCGTCTCTATAAAAAAAAAAATACAAAAACTAGCTCGGTGTGGTGGTGCACACCTGTAGTCCCAGCTACTCGGGAGGCTGAGGTGGGAGGCAGCTGAGATCATGCCACTGCACTCCAGCCTGGGTGACAGAGTGAGACTCCACCTCAAAAAAAAAAAAAAAAATCACAACAGGTTTTATTCTGCACCCCCACCCCAACCCCCTTCGACTTGTAGGGTTGGGTTCCGCTCCCCATAACCAATGTTTCTTTTTCTTTTCTTTTTTTTTTTTTCAAGATAGGGTCTCAATCTGTCACCCAGCCTGGAGTGCAGCGGTGCAATCATGGTTTCCTGTAGCCTCGATCTTCTAGGCTCAAGTGATTCTCTGGCTTCAGTCTCCCGAACAGCTAGGATGACCACCGCCCATCACCATGCCCGGCTATTTTTGTTTTTTGTAGAGACAAGGTCTTGCCATGTTGCTCAGGCTGATCTCAAACACCTGGGCTCAAGTGATCCTCCTGCCTCAGCCTCCCAAAGTGCTGGGGTTGCAGGCATGAGCCACCATGCCCAGCCCAGTGTTTCTTTTTAAAGACATGTTTAAAAGGCAATGTCTGCACTTGGGAGATCCTCCCTCAGGAACAGCTACTGAATCTGTGGTTTTTTTTTTTTTTTTTTGCCTCCTTTGTTATTGCGTCTCTCAGCTTCTCCTCCAAGAATGCCTCATTAGAGCCCCAGTTTTCCTCTAAGAGTTTCTCAGTTGAGGTTGTTTCAAAACAAGGTGTCTTCCCAAACAATACTTGGCTGTGCAAAGTGAAATCATTAAAAGACTAACCTGTAAAGACTTATGATTAGATGACTTTATTTTTAAACTGATATAGTTTGTTCTTCTTATTATTTCATTTTTATTTTGGAGATTTGCAAGCCCATAAAAGGGTAGGGTGAATAGTATAACAAACACCCATAGCTAGGCATGGTGGCTCATGCCTGTAATTCCAGCACTTTGGGAGTCTGAGATGGGTGGATCACTGGAGTCCAGGAGTTCAAGACCAGCCTGGCCAAATTGGTGAAATCCTGTCTCTACTAAAAATACAAAAATTAGCCCAACATGGTGGTGTGTGCCTGTAATTCTAGCAACTCGAGAGGCTGATATAGGAGAATCACTTGAACCTGGGAGGTGGAGGTTGCAGTGAGCTGAGATCGTGCCATTGTACTCCAGCCTGGGCAACAGAGCAAGACTCCATCTCAAAACAACAATAACAACAACAAAATACGCATGTACCCACCACTGAACTTCCATCGATATATGGCCCTTCTTTCTTTTCTTTTTTTTTTTTTTTTTTGAAACAGAGCTTCCCTCTTGTTGCCCAGGCTGGGGTTCACTGCAACCTCTGCCTCCCGGGTTTAAGCGATTCTCCTGCATGGCCAGTCTTGCGTTAGCTACACCACATCCACCACACCCTCCATTGTAAGGGATATGTTTGAGGGATGGAGGGAAACTTGGCCTTATATTTATGGCTATCTCATATACTTACTCAAGATCATTGGAAAAAACCCATTTACTATAGAAAATGACAAATACGCATCTATCTAAGAAGGCAGAGTATAATGAAGCCCTCGTGCTCACCTAGGGTGCTACCCGGGGCTCGTCACCAGCTTCCACCTGGAAGCCATCTTCTCTCCGGCACACCCTCATTCTACCTCTCCCTGACTTTTCTGAAGCAGATGCCTGGTGAGCCGTCCTCCCTCCAGGCAGCATCCCTGCTGACAGCTGTCTCTGTGCACATGTGGTTGAAGGACGTCAGTGGGACAACCCTGCAGATATCCAGGGTTCAGGTCTCAGCACCCCGTTTAGGTCTCAGCTGTGTGACCTTGGACAGGCGACTTCCCATCTCTGAGCATTCTCCCTACACGGCCTTCCTCACAGGGCTTCTCAGGGCATTCTGTGAAAATGTCTGTGAAATGTGGAACACAAGAAATTCTGACCAGGCACAGTGGCTTATGCCGGTAATCCCAGCTACTCAGGAGGCTGAGGCAGGAGAATCACTTGAATCCAGGAGGCAGAGGTTGCAGCGAGCCAAGATCACGCCACTGCACTCCAGGCTGGGCAACAGAGCAAATCTCTGTCTCAAAAAAAAAGAAAAAAGAAAGAAAGAAAAAGAAAGGAAATTCTGATTAGTGTCATTCATTTACTTATTTATTTTATTTATTGTTTTGAGATCGAGTCTCGCTCTGTCGCCCAGGTTGGAGTGCAGTGGCACGATGTTGGCTTACTACAACCTCCGCCTTCAGGGTTCAAGCAATTCTCCTGCCTCAGCCTCCCAAGTAGCTGGGATTACAGGTGTCCACCATCACATCTGGCTAATTTTTTTTATATTTTTGGTAGAAGGGGGTTTCACCATGTTGGCCAGGCTGGTCTCAAACACCTGCCCTTAAGTGATCCACCTGTCTCAGCCTCCCAAAGTGCTGGGATTACAGGCATGAGCCACTGCACCCAGCCTATTTTTGAGACAAGTCTTGCTGTTGCCCAGGCTGGAGTGCAGTGACGCAATCACAGCTCACTGAAACCTCCTGGCTCAAGCCATCCTCCTGCCTCAGCCTCCGAGTCACTGGGTGCAAAGTTTAAATTTATAATTTCAGCTAATTATTTTTTATTTTTTGGAGATGAGGTCTCTCCATGTTGCCCGGGCTGGCCTCAAACTCCTGGGCTCAAGTAATCCACTTGCCTTGGCCTCTTAAAGTGCCGGGATTACAGGTGTGGGCCACTATGCCTGGCCTACTCAGTACTGTTTCTTGATAAATGATTTTTAAAGTACTTTAAAAGCTGAGGAGGGGTAGCTGGTGCCAGGGTGTGGAAGAAAGAACCGTTCAGGTGCAGTCTGTGCCTCACTGAGGGGTGGGAGGGGTGAGCCCCTCATTCAGCTGGGAGGCCACAAGACACCCCCAGTGGATGAGTGGGAGAGGGGGCCTGCTCTTACCCAGGAATATGAGATGCTAGTGGCTCCCTTGCAGGGGCTCAACTGCAACAGCCATTCCTCCCAGGGCGTGCTGGGTACTGGGGAAGGCAGCATGAATCACTGTGTCCACCCGCCCCTCCCAGGCTGCCTGCCCCACAGGTGCCCATGGTGACGCCGAGTCCAGAAGGCTGGGACTGGAGAAAGAGTTGGGGTCCTGTGGTCATGAGGGCAGGGGCCAGGATCGCCCACACTGTTGATTGCACTCACGGTCTAGGTCACCCCACCAAAGCTTTCTGTATCCATCTCTGTCATCAGCCCAAGCAACCTGCCGTGCACTCCCTGACAAGGGGGAAACCATCATATGAACTCCCCCAAGTCATAACCCCTGTACAACTTAATGTGACTTTATTTGGTGATAGGGAGGTGATCAAATTAAAATGAGGTCATAGGGCCAGAGGCAGTGGCTCACGCCTGTAATCCCAGCACTCTGAGAAGCAGAGGCGGGAGGATCATGAGGTCAGGAGTTTGAGACCAGCCTAGCCAACATAGTGAAACCCTGTCTCTACTAAAAATACAAAAATTAGCTGGGTGTGGTGGTACACGCCTGTAATTCCAGCTACTCAGGAGGCTGAGGCAAGAGAATCGCTTGAACCTGGGGGGTGGAGGTTGCAGTGAGCCAAGATCGTGCCACTGCACTCCAGCCTGGGCGACAGAGCGAGACTCTATCTCAAGACATAAATAAATAATAAATTAAAATGAAGTCATTAGGGTGGGCTGTAATCCAGTAAGACCAGGATCTTCATAAAAAGGGGAAGTTTGGACACAGACATGCCCCGAAGTAAGACAATGTGAAGAAACAGAGGGAAGAAGCACAGCCTGGACCAGGGGCCCCTTCACTGCCCTGGGAAGGAACCAGCCTCACCCACACCTTCATTGCAGCCTTCTGGCCTCCAGAGTGAGAGAATGGTTCCTGTAGCTTAAGCCCCTGGCTGTGGTGTTTGTTACGGCAGCCCAGGGAAGTTCAAGCACTCACCTGCCAGGACTGATTCCTGCCGGCTGTGGGTAGGCGGTTGGGTTGCTCCGGAGAGGCTCATTGATGCCTCTTTGTGAGTTCAGGCTTCAAGGAAGTGGGCAGTCCCTCAGCTCCCCACGGACTCCTCTCCCCCGTCTGTCCTCATGCAAACCAAGACACTCACTGGAAAAAATACCAAGCCCATTCTGGTGACAGCACGATCCAATCTGGGGGACGGGATTTCTGCCTTCCGCCCCTCCAAACCCAGCTCAGGAATTTGAATAAATTGAGGCTTGCTGGAGGGTTTGTTGTTATGGAATTGGAGCAATGAGAAG